CAGGTCTTCCGGCACTATGGACTTCCGGAGGACATCGTCTCGGATCGTGGCCCCCAATTCACCTCCCGAGTGTGGAAGGCTTTTCTGGAGACAATCGGGGCCACGGCCAGCCTCACTTCCGGGTATAGGCCTCAGTCAAATGTTTCTTCATTGCCACTGTCAGGACCGGCAGGGTGAGTGGGCGAGGTTTCTTCCCTGGGCAGAATATGCCCAGAACTCCCTCATTCACTCATCCACAGGGCTCTATCCCTTCCAATGCGTCCTGGGGTACCAGCCGGCCCTGGCCCCTTGGACACCCAGCCAGACCGATGCGCCCGCTGTCGACGAGTGGTTCCGCAGGGCCGGACAAGTCTGTCTCCAGAGGGCCATTCGTCGGCGGAAGGACCAAGCTGACCACCACCGCAGTGAGGCTCCCGTATTCCAGCCTGGTGATCGTGTCTGGCTGTCCACTCGAAACCTCCCTCTCCAACTGCCCTGCAAGAAACTGAGCCCCTGGTTTGAAACTGAGCCCCAGGGACTGTCACGTCTCCTCCCGTTGCTCCCCTCCGGCGCTCTGATTCGCCGGTCTACTGAGCCACCGGTCTGAGCACACTACCTCGGCAACACAGGAATGGAAACCCAACCCACCCTAATCACCTCCAGCGCACCAGCACCTCATCTCATCACCACCACTATATAGCCCTGGACTGTTCAGTCATTGTTGTGTGTAATTGTTAGCATCGTGTCGTTTACTCGCTCCTTGTTATTCTCTTTCTCATTGTTAAGTAAACCTTTACCTTGTTGATTCCTGCGTCTGTGCCCTGCCTCTTCATTTCCTCAGTACTCGTCACAAAAGGAAACATTTTGAATTTTGTGGAAATGTGAAATTAATGTAGGAGAATATAACACATTAGATCTGGTAAAATATAATACAAACAAAAAACCAATACTGGACTATTTTGTATCAAGTCTGCCCAAATGTGTCGAATTGGTCAATTGATACATTTTCAAGTACATAACTATAGAGAACTATAGAGTCTTTTTTTCACTGTAAAAGCTACTGTAAATTAGACAGTGCAGTTAGATTAACAAGAATGTAAGCTTTCTGCCCATATAAGACATGTCTATGTCCTGGAAAGTTTGCTATTACTTACAACAGTCATGCTAATCACATTAGCGCACGTTAGCTCAACCGTCCCGTATACGGGACACCGATGCCGTAGAGGTTAAGCCTTGTTTATACCTGGTGCTAACGTGGATTATTTTGTAATGATCTTGTCCACATTCTGATTGTGCCCACTACAAATGCGTCTAAACATGTATTAAAATATGTCTCTTATCCATCCACTGTGTCCGCATTGTGACCAGATTTCCCTGTATGCAAATTATTTGACAGATATTCTTTCAAAATATTATTTATTTATTTTAACACACATATTGATGCCATAAGTCCATGGTGCCACCTGTCAATGATTTTAGAAGTTTGGATAATTATGATTTAAATAGTTTCACTGTCCAGATCCGTTTACACTTATATAGCCAGACACAGTGCGTACCTGACTAACTCCTGAGGTGGTCAGGAAGATCTGATCACAATCAGATCACAATGCATTTTTTAATCGTCCTGTCTAAAAATGTGTGCACAATCAGAATATGGACAGGATCAGGACAAAGGATGCATGTTAGAGCCAGGTATAAAAAGGACTTTAGACAGCATAAACTGTGTTATAAATGAAAACATGAGGTATATGGCCAGAGAGGCAGTAGTGAATGAAAAACCTGACAGAGAATGCCATTTCGTCAACTCTAAGGTATATGAATCTTCCAGGTAGACTTTAAAGGGGTAAAAAAACGGTGTATTTTTGATTTTTTTGTAAAGCTACAATTGAGAAGACATGTACAAACAATACCATTGATTGCTAAGGTAGTATACTATCGTGTATATACTAAATATAGATCAGTTGTTAATAATGGTTGCCGTTTTAGCTGCAGTTGTAGCTAGTTGACATGGCAGTGGTTCTCATCTTTTTCCTAACAATGTAAACGTTCCCTGATATGTCCTCTGAATATTGCCCTTTAGTTAAATTGTCCCTGGAGTGGGAAGGGGATAGAATGGAGCACTGTTGAGCACCACATGGAGACACTCCCTCTATTATTGTCTGGAATGAATTGTCTGAGAAATTACAGGAAATAAATTTAGCTTGGCCTAAGGATAGACTGACTGATTCTATGTCTAATTGGCAGTCCTTCAGACATTTGAGAAATAGATGTCTATTCCTGGTTAAAAAAGCAAAATCAACATACTGTATTTCTTTAAGTGTGTGGTAATCCAGCCAACTTCTGGAAAGTGGTCAAATCTTTGAAACAAAACTCCACCTCCTCGTTGCCCCAGCATGTTTTGACAGCCTCTGGTTCCATACTAGACAAAATTGACATTTGTGGTGCTTTTAAATAATAACCAGTTTGCTTCAGCTGGCCACCTGTTTGAAAGGATAGTCTCTGAAAATTCATCTCATTCCACTAGAGGGAGTCCTTTAGTCACCTCAGAACAGATTGTAGTGAATGATGCACTAGCAGACTCAAATACTTTATTTTCATTTCACCATTTGATGTCTATGATGTACCAAGTGCTTTGCTAAAGATTGATGTTAAAAAATCCATAGGGGCTGATTCACTTGATCCCTTCTTATTGCAGCTCTCTGCCCCACTTATTGCAAAACCATTTATCTATATTTTTTATTTGACAATTGTCTCTGGTGTTATCCCTAAGATCTAGAAAGTGGCACGTCTTCCCCCTACATAAAGTAGGAGATCCCTCTGATTTAGATAACTACTGTCCAATTTCCAAATTATCTTGCCTTTCCAAAGTTTTAGAATCTCTGGCCAACGTTCAGCAAATAACTTTTTTAACTTCTCACTCTGTTCTTAATGTGCATCAATCCGGTTTTAGACCTGGACATAGCACCGTTTCATGTGCTACGCTTGTTTTAGATGATGTGTTAAATAGCTTAGATCATAAAAATCATTGCGCTGCCTTATTTATAGACCTTTCCAAGGCCTTCGATACTGTTGACCATCACATTCAAAGGTTGACTGAAATAGGCCTGGATCAGGCTTCTTGCAAGTGGTTTGAGAATGATCTGTCAGACAGGACACAATGTGTGATTTCTCATGGTGTTAAGTATAGTTTCCTGGATATTACAAAAGGTGTACCGCATGGGGTCAGTATTGGGACCTGTTCTCTTTGCTATTTATATAAATAATATTGGTCTATCTGTTAAAACTTTTCTCCCAGGAGGACTATGGCACGTCCCATTGCTCTACTCCAATCATTGTAGTCTAATTTCTACTTAATATTCATTTGCATGCAGACGACACTGTTATGTATGCCATTGCCCCAACTGTTGACCAAGCTATGTTAGAGCTCTTCACGACTGTCTTGGTGTGTTTGGACCATGATAGTTTGTTGGGGATGTGGACACCAAGGAACTTGAAACTCTCGAACCCACTCCACTACAGCCATGTCGATGTTAATGGGGGCCTGTTTGGCCCTCCTTTTCCTGTAGTCCAACAAAGCAGTGTTGGGACCTAGGCTACATGATAATGGTAGGCAGTACGGAGCAGACTGAAAGTGGTTGCTATCTGCTCATGACAACATTGTTGTTGTGTGGGAAAGCTATCTGTGCCTGGCACTGCAGCTCTACTCCTGTCATGTCCCCTCCCTTGGCTGCCACCAAACTACTGTCTGCTGGAGCCACACAGGTCCATTATATGGCCAACAGCTCCTCCTTGTGGGGATTCGACTCAGTTTTCCATATTTTATTTCCATATCCTATAGATTATATAGGATTCAATGGACTTCTATAGGTTCTAATATGGGTTGTTCATCTTCCAGATCTGCCTATGTGTACATTGTTGGCTTACATGTAAAAAAGTTGTTACTGCCTCCATCTGAAATCTGAACAAACTGGCAATTACTGATCATGGGATATGTAGTACATTTTTTACAAGACTTATACAAATACAATGTTTAATATAAAAATATAACTTGGTAAATTATTGTTTCAAAAGTCTACTCCTGATTTGGATATTACTAGTTGAATACCACAACATATTGATACATTGGCATCTGTATACGGTAAAGTTTGAAATGAGGCCAGCAGCTTAGCTCTGATACGCGGTAGCTACTGCAATGATTCTCAGTACTCTGCCGTCCTTGTGGATTTTGGCACGTAGCCTATGTTATCTAAGAGATTGTTCTCTTCTCTTCTCTCCTATCCTAATATCTATTTTCCTTTCATGTGCCTCCTCTTCCCTTTATTCCTTTGTGAGGCTTTCTTCCTTCCCTATCTCCTCCCATTTAAATGTTAAAAGTTGTATTTCTCTCAGTGTCTCCATGACTCCACTCACGATAACAGGATGATAACAGGCTCAGAGAGAAAGAGAGAGAGAGATAAGGGGAGAGAGAGAGAGAGAGTGTCTGAGGCAGAGTGTGAAGACCCCAGAACCCCCTCCCAGCCTCCCAGGCCTGACATCAGCCACTGCCCTTGTTCCTCCTCTCCCCTCCCCCTGCCTGGCTGCCTCATATTTTTAAGTCTTCTGTGTGCAATAGTAAATAATTCAGAGTCAGTGGCGCTGCGTACAGGTCCTAGTGCGGGGAATTGCAGCCTCGCTCCCGCAGTCTGCACTCTGACAGCAGCTCTAGGGAGAACACACACATCCAGGGAAGCTGCAGAGCACACACACACATTCAGTGAAGATACCATCCGACTGCCCTCTCTCTGGCTCTGCTTCTCTCTCACTCTCTCTCTTTCTCCCTCCCTCTCTCTCTCTCTCTCTCTCTCTCCCCAACTCTTCACAGTCTTTCGATAGCTCAGCATCCTCACTGCTACTGCTGCGGCTGCTGCTACAAGGTAACCAGAAATCTTGTCTTGTTCTTCTTTGAAGGGAAAACACAACTTCTTGAGGCTCAGCAGTCTTTGTCACCAGTCCCTGTGCCTCTGTCCATCTGTAGTGGAAATATGCTGATTGCCGGATTGAGAAGGGTCCCGGGATGGCTGAAGCTGTTGGCCAGCCTATGTCTGCTTCTTTGCCTTGTGGGGGAGACCGGGGCCAAGAGGGTCCCCAAAATCCCCCGCTGTCCTGCCACCTGCTCCTGCACCAAAGACAGTGCCTTCTGTGTGGATACCAAGGCTATCCCCAAGAGCTTCCCCCCTGGGATCATCTCCCTGTGAGTACAACATTGATCCGTCTGTGTGTGTCTGTTCCTGTATACTCTATCTGCTTTTTGATCTATTCCTTACATTTGATTCCAAAATGATAAAACCAGCTGTTGATAATGTACATACAGACTTACTATGATCTGTGATGTCATGCATGGTTTTTACCAATGACTTCATCTCTCATGGACTAGCCTGTTGACATTACATCATGCAAACATAGGCTACACTTTTATACAAGATAATTTGGGGAGACACAGGAGAGGAGTGCTTCAAGATAATTTGGGGTTTTTACAATATATTCTGCAATGTCTACTCTGGTTACCAAAAGCTTATAGTTCATGTCTACAAAATTGATTTTTTTAAAACAGTTTCAGATTATTTTATATTATACTATGGTTTCTCAAGAGAGAAATACAGTGTTTGTGCTCCTCAAGAACATGTGTCTGATAGATTTTAAAGAGACAGAAAAGATCAGGTTCACCATGCCTGTGTGTTTTGACGGACAGGGCTAGGTCAGCTAATAAAAGATGACAAATGGGCACTTTGTGCCCCTGTGCCTCAGTCTCTCCTCATTCTTGGACAGAAGTCAGGGGGAGCTGGCAGAAATGAGACTACATTGATTGGAGTAGAGCAATGGGATGTGCCATGGCCCTCCTGGGAGAGACACTTACAATAGATTCACATCTCACAGCAAAAGACCTGCGTGTCCTCCAAGGAACAGTAACCTTACGAAAGTTAGATAGATAGTGCGCATTCAGTAAATGGAACGCCAAAAATGAAATGATATATACTCTGTCTGCTTACATTTTCTAACACAAGAATATTGTGTTTACTTACATTTTTGTCTATATTGACTCTGAATGTATTATCTTTCTGTAATCGAGCATCATGTTCTTGTTTTTAAAGAGCTTGGGGAATTGAAGAGCACAAGCACTACAAGGTGGAGGTGGCCTCATTTTAAAGTGATAAAGACATGAACCTGTGAATAAGGAAACTGTGTCCTAGTTTTAAAAGATTTTGTCCTTCTTGAAATTCAAATAGTAAGACAGATTGAGCCACAGGAGCTCTTGCTAAAACATCCCATGCTGCATGTTCAGTTCTGTCAATAGATTGACTGTGCCTGGGGACTGTGGAGAACATTCCGATGCAGGCCCCATCCCCTCATATTGATTAGGTGTGATGCAGTACCACCATCCCCATCAGGGCCTAACGATTCTTATTTTAACAAAAAGTTATGCTAATAAACATACAGAATTCACAAACCTCTGTGGCTGACTGGCAACATACATACACTTTTAGCATGGAGCAACAAGCCCTTGCGCACAACGGAGGGTTGGATAAGGATGATGAAATTGACTCAATGTTAATTGATAGAGCCTGAATGATGATAAGTTGATTGTCTGTACTCCTCAGGACAATGGTGAATGCAGCCTTCACTACAATCCCAGAGGGAGCCTTCTCTCACCTGAACCTTTTGCAGTTTCTGTGAGTATTCATGCCACATCAACCCATCCTCTCCCTTCCTGTCTGAGGTAGAGGAATTAGAGCAAACAGTCTCAACTTAACTTCTGTGGTTTGGGTCAATTAAAATGCTAAACATGTTCTCTCCAAGACACCATCTTCTATACAACAAAGAAAATTCAGCTAGACCAATCTCGCCTGTTGTTTTGGAGACCAAAATCAAGATAATACATGTAGTAAGTTGGAGGGCTAAACATACACATAAAGATAACTAGATAAGAAGTACAAGTCGTGAAGTAACATTTGTTAGACAATACAAACACTATAAATCTCTTGAAATAAACTGTTATTGAAAACAGTGGTGACATGGCAGTAGTGAAAGTAAAGTGGCTCTGTATCAGTGTCATCGCCAATGACTGACTCCCTTCAGTTCTCTTCTGTTTAAACAATGGCTTATCTGTCTACGCAGATTCAATGGAGTGTGTGTGTGTGTTTGTGTGTGTGTGTGCTTTCATATTTTGTGGTTTTGAGCTCATATTAAAATGCCCAATGCAGCTGTTTTTATCTCAATATCAAATCATTTCTGGGTAACAATTAAGGACCTTACTGTGATTGTTTTAAATTAAAATGGTAAAAAAAGGAAACAAAAACAGCTTCTTAGCAAAGAGCATTTTCTCAAGCAAGAATTTTGCTAGGACTGTCTGCGAATGGTCTGAGTGGGGAGGGGAAAACTGAAAACATATTGTCAAAGAGGTTTGGAACTCTCTTTCTTATTGGTCTATTAACTAATTAACCGCCTGGTGATGTCACCACGCAGGCCAAAACTCCATCCCACCAAAACAGGCTGAAATTTCAGGAGGTCTTTTCAAACAGCTCTTTCTGTAAAAGGGCATTATCATCATTTTCACGATTTCACAGTATTATTCCAACCACATAGTGTTGAAATATATAAAACACAGGAAAATGATGTTTTTGACCGCACTGGGCCTTTAAAGCTGACCCATACTATATTGAATAGTTTATCTGTTCCTTGAAATTGAATAGCTCTTCCTATTTCCACTCCACTCCCATTCAGGTGATTTATTTGTTACTGGAGGAGATGCTTTGTACACTACCTGTGTCCATTTGTAATCCTGTGTAAATAAATACACATTTACAGTACCGGTATTGATTAGCATGTGTTTTAACCTCTCCAGCAGTATTTTTCTGGACATTTTGTTAAGTCAAACATTTGAAATGGAAAGTGAAACAGATTTCATTCCAGTGTTATAAACCTTCTCTCTCTTTCTCTCCCTCTCTGCAGTCTGTTGAACTCCAATACCTTCACTGTGGTGGCTGATGATGCCTTTGCAGGTCTGTCACACCTGCAGTACTTGTAAGTGTTACACTTTGTGCCCTTATTCAACCACACATATACCCCCAACAATCGTTCTGAGAGGATGAGGTAGTGGTGTTACAATGAAAGATCCAGTCCTCAGCCAGACAAGTAACATTGGATATTGATCCTCCTCCTACCAAAGAGCCTTACTGCCTTTGTGGGGCCTGATGAAGCTGAGCATACCATTTTGTTAATTGATGGGAAGTTGGGCACCAGGAAATATGAGGTTGCTGATGCTATCGCATTTGCTGCTTTCCACAGAAGCAATGCATTAGGCTCCATAAAGTGATTGTGTGGCTCTGGCTGCAGCCCAGCCCCAGTGCTCTGCATTGCCCAGCCAGCTCTACCCCGAGGTGGCTCCTCACTGTGAATGCTAATGAACTCATGTCTTCATATCCAGTGCTGCTCAATATGGGAGACAGAATGTAGGCTGGCTGAGCTCACACTGTGTAGCCCTGGGATGCCTCACAGATCCAGAATGAATACAGAGAATGCACCTGTAGTCAATTGTCACCTAAACTTTGATACAGGGCTCAGGCAATATGTATATTTATTACTGAACCCATGTAGAGGCACCCTACTAAGTATCTGATGACGGGGCACTTTTGCCAACTGTCAATTCTCGATTTTAAGTATACCCAAGACGTACAACTGTTACGTTAACTTCATTAGAAAAATGTGAGCCACAGCCAGTAAATGGCTGTTTCTAGATCCCCTCCCCCCTCCTCTTCACCACTTGGCTTATCCTCAATGTCAGTGCTGCTCTTACTGCAGCCAGTCCAGCGAGCAGCCAGGCCCAGGTCCATTCCCATTATAGCTGCTTAAGATTCAGGAAGCAGGACATGGTCCCCTTGGTAACAGGCTTTTGAATTAAATAAATAAATGAGGGACAGACGGAGACACAATTATGATAAAAGGTTCAATAAGACCAACGTTACACTCTGAATATGGAAAATAAGGTTGTGTACTATGCATGATTGACATGGAAATGTATTCAAATTATCTTGATTGTATTATATTGGCAAATGACCCCGAGTTCTACCAGAAAGCATGGTTTTTATAATACGAATACACATTCATTGAGATGCCACTGTTAATATAAAGATGTCTGTCTGAATCATTCATTCACTGGGTTGATCTTGATTATTATGATTGCTTGCATTTTTTCAGAAGTCTACTATCTACACTGAGTATACAAAACATTAAGAACACCTGCTCTTTCCATGACATAGACTGACCAGGTGTATCCAGGTGAAAGCTATGATCCCTTATTGATGTCACTTGTTAAATCCACTTCAATAAGTCTATATAAAGGGGAGGAGACAGGTTAAAGAAGGATTTTTAAGCCTTGAGACAATTGAGACATGAATTGCGTATGTGTGCCATTCAGAGGGTGAATGGGAAAAACACAATATTGAAGTGCCTTTGAACCGGTAGAAGGTGCCAGGTGCACCGGTTTTGTCAAGAACTGCAACGCTGCTGTTTTTTCCACCCTCAACAGTTTCCTGTGTGTATCAACAATGGTTCCTAATGTTTGGTGTACTCAGTGTATGTGTGACACAGTACACTGCTCAAAAAAATAAAGGGAACACTTAAACAACACAATGTAACTCCAAGTCAATCACACTCCTGTGAAATCAAACTGTCCACTTAGGAAGCAACACTGATTGACAATAAATGTCACATGCTGTTGTGCAAATGGAATAGACAACAGGTGGAAATTATAGGCAATTAGCGAGACACCCCCAATAAAGGACTGGTTTTGCAGGTGGTGACCACAGACCACTTCTCAGTTCCTATGCTTCCTGGCTGATGTTTTGGTCACTTTTGAATGCTGGCGGTGCTTTCACTCTAGTGGTAGCATGAGACGGAGTCTACAACCCACACAAGTGGCTCAGGTAGTGCAGCTCATCCAGGATGGCACATCAATGCGAGCTGTGGCAAGAAGGTTTGCTGTGTCTGTCAGCGTAGTGTCCAGAGCATGGAGGCGCTACCAGGAGACAGGCCAGTACATCAGGAGACGTGGAGGAGGCCGTAGGAGGGTAACAACCCAGCAGCAGGACTGCTACCTCCGCCTTTGTGCAAGGAGGAGCAGGAGGAGCACTGCCAGAGCCCTGCAAAATGACCTCCAGCAGGCCACAAATGTGCATGTGCCTGCTCAAACGGTCAGAAACAGACTCCATGAGGGTGGTATGAGGGCCCGACGTCCACAGGTGGGGGTTGTGCTTACAGCCCAACACCGTGCAGGACGTTTGGCATTTGCCAGAGAACACCAAGATTGGCAAATTCGCCACTGGTGCCCTGTGCTCTTCACAGAGGAAAGCAGGTTCACACTGAGCACATGTGACAGACGTGACAGAGTCTGAAGACGCCGTGGAGAACGTTCTGCTGCCTGCAACATCCTCCAGCATGACCGGTTTGGCGGTGGGTCAGTCATGGTGTGGGGTGGCATTTCTTTGGGGGGCCGCACAGCCCTCCATGTGCTCGCCAGAGGTAGCCTGACTGCCATTAGGTACCGAGATGAGATCCTCAGACCCCTTGTGAGACCATATGCTGGTGCGGTTGGCCCTGGGTTCCTCCTAATGCAAGACAATGCTAGACCTCATGTGGCTGGAGTGTGTCAGCAGTTCCTGCAAGAGGAAGGCATTGACGCTATGGACTGGTCCGCCCGTTCCCCAGACCTGAATCCAATTGAGCACATCTGGGACATCATGTCTCGCTCCATCCACCAACGCCACGTTGCACCACAGACTGTCCAGGAGTTGGCGGATGCTTTAGTCCAGGTCTGGGAGGAGATCCCTCAGGAGACCATCCGCCACCTCATCAGGAGCATGCCCAGGCATTGTAGGGAGGTCATACAGGCACGTGGAGGCCACACACCCTACTGAGCCTCATTTTGACTTGTTTTAAGGACATTAAATCAAAGTTGGATCAGCCTGTAGTGTGGTTTTCCACTTTAATTTTGAGGGTGACTCCAAATCCAGACCTCCATGGGTTGATAAATTTGATTTCCATTGATAATTCTTGTGTGATTTTGTTGTCAGCACATTCAACTATGTAAAGAAAAAAGTATTTCATAAGATTATTTCATTCATTCAGATCTAGGATGTGTTATTTTAGTGTTCCCTTTATTTTTTTGAGCAGTGTATTTTGAGTGATCCTCTCTCTCTGTATGCCCATCAGATTTATAGAGAACAATGACATCCACGCCCTGTCAAAGCATACCTTCAGAGGGCTTAAATCCTTGACTCACCTGTGAGTACATCTTCTGCCTATTTCTCTGTAAATATCAATGGAAGAATACTAAACTCAGCAAAAAAAGAAATGTAATCTCACTGTCAACTGCATTTATTTTCAGCAAACTCAACATGTGTAAATATTTATATAACAAGATTCAACAACTGAGACATTAACTGAACAAGTTCCACAGACATGTGACTAACAGAAATGGAATAATGTGTCCCTGAACAAAGGGGGGGTCAAAATCAAAAGTAACAGTCAGTATCTGGTGTGGCCACCAGCTGCATTAAGTACTGCAGTGCATCTCCTCCTCATGGACTGCACCAGATTTGCCAGTTCTTGCTGTGAGATGTTACCCCACTCTTCCACCAAGGCACCTGCAAGTTCCCGGACATTTCTGGGGGGAATGGCCCTAGCCCTCACCCTCCGATCCAACAGTTCCCAGACGTGCTCAATGGGATTGAGATCCGGGCTCTTCGCTGGCCATGGCAAAACACTGTCATTCCTGTCTTGCAGGAAATCACACACAGAACGAGCAGTATGGCTGGTGGCATCGTCATGCTGGAGGGTAATGTCAGGATGAGCCTGCAGGAAGGGTACCACATGAGGGAGGAGGATGTCTTCCCTGTAAAGCACAGCGTTGAGATTGCCTGCAATGACAACAAGCTCAGTCCGATGATGCTGTGACACACCGCCCCAGACCATGACGGACCCTCCACCTCCAAATCGATCCCACTCCAGAGTACAGGCCTCGGTATAACGCTCATTCATTTGATGATAAACGCAAATCCGACCATCACCCCTGCCAGTCCTGTCTGGTCCAGCGACGGTGGGTTTGTGCCCATAGGCGACGTTGTTGCCGGTGATGTCTGGTGAGGATCTGCCTTCCAACAGGTCAACAAGCCCTCAGTCCAGCCTCTCTCAGCCTACTGCGGACAGTCTGAGCAATGGAGGGATTGTGCGTTCCTGGTGTAACTTGGGCAGTTGTTGTTGCCATCCTATACTTGTCCCGCAGGTGTGATGTTCAGATGTACCGATCCTGTGCAGGTGTTTTTACATGTGGTCTGCCACTGCGAGGACGATCAGCTGTCCCTCCTGTCTCCCTGTAGCGCTGTCTTAGGCGTCTCACAGTACGGACATTGCAATTTATTGCCCTGGCCACATCTGCAGTCCTCATGCCTCCTTGCAGCATGCCTAAGGCACGTTCACACAGATGAGCAGGGACCCTGGGCATCTTTCTTTTGGTGTTTTTCAGAGTCAGTAGAAAGGCCTCTTTAGTGTCCTAAGTTTTCATAACTGTGACCTTCATTGCCTACCGTCTGTAAACTGTTAGTGTCTTAACGACCGTTCCACAGGTGCATGTTCATTAATTTTGTATGGTTCATTGAACAAGCATGGGAAACAGTGTTTAAACCCTTTACAATGAAGATCTGTGAAGTTATTTGGATTTTTACGAATTATCTTTGAAAGACAGTGTCACGATCGTCATAATGAGTGGACCAAGGCGCAGCGTGATATGCGTACATCTCTTTAATAGTGTACTTAGCAACACGATACAAATAGCAAAACAACAAAACGAAACGTGAAGTCCTCGGTCATACACAAACCTACACGGAACAAGATCCCACGAATCACAAGTGCACAAAAGGCTGCCTAAGTATGGGTCCCAATCAGAGACAACAAGCAACAGCTGATTCTCGTTGCCTCTGATTGAGAACCACCCCGGCCAACATAGAAACACATAACCTAGAACAGAACATAGGAAACGAAACATAGACACTACACAAAGAAACTAACACCCTGGCTCAACATACAAGAGTCCCCAGAGCCAGGGCGTGACAGACAGGGTCCTGAAAAAGGGCTGTTTCTTTTTTTGCTGAGTTTAGTTATGGATTGCATGGACATGTTATGACATTAAAATTAATATCTGTCTTTTGTAGTTCTCTGTCAAATAATAACCTGCAGCTCCTTCCACGAGAACTCTTCAAATATCTTGATATTCTGACAGACTTGTAAGTACACATATTTTTGAAAGGGAATGTGGTATCCTTATCATCATTGGTTTCATCTTGTGATTTTAGGTTTTTAAAACAAGTAACTATAACTTATTAGTATTACCATACTATGTTATTACCCACTTTATGAAGTGCTGTAATTTAAAGTGCTACTGAGAATCCTTACTACAGATAGTTTTCTAAGAACTGTGTCATGGGTGGACAATAATTATATTTTTGATGTGTTACCCAGAGACCTGCGGGGTAACTCTTTCCGCTGTGACTGTAAAATCAAGTGGCTTGTGGACTGGATGGAGAAGACCAACACCTCTGTCCCGGCCATCTACTGTGCCAGCCCATTTGAGTTCCAAGGCCGCAGAATCCATGATCTCACCCCACGAGACTTCAACTGTATCAGTGCAGGTTTGCCCCCAATTATTTTAAAATTAATTAATTTCACAGGACATCAAGGCACTTAATTTACAGGTTGATAATCCTCATCTCTCTCTTCCCCTTTAGACTTTGCAGTTTATGAAACTTTCCCTTTCCATTCTGTGTCAGTGGAGTCCTATGAATTCAACGACGATCAGTTTGTGGCCTTCGCCCAGCCTGATACAGGGTTCTGTACACTGTTTGTATGGGATCATGTGGAAATGGTCTTCCGGATGTACCATAATATAACATGTACGTTTCTTCCATGACTCATGCCTTCTAAAAATAAGTAATCATGCCACAAGACAACCAATGCATTCAACTGTTATCACTTAATTATAGACCAAGGGAATTTACATTGTATCTTGGAGCAAACCACTTCTTTAAGTCCACAGAGGAGACTGAAGTCAGCTAAACCTGCTACTTTTTGCATCTGTGTTTCTCCTAGCTCGCTCCGCTGTCTACTGCAAGCCTGTGGTGATAAATAACACTCTTTACATGGTTGTGGCTCAACTTTTTGGAGGATCCCACATCTACAAGTGAGACTTATTCCAATTCCCATAGGCAATACAGTGTCATTGACTTGTTCATTTTCTTAGCCACAAATTGTGTTAAATGGATACTTCGGGATTTTGGCAATGAGGCCCTTTAGCTACTTTCCCAGAGTCAGATGAACTCGTGGATACCATTTTTATGTTTCTGTGTCCAGTATGGGAGTTAGAGGTAGTTTCGTGAGCCAATGCTAACTAGTGTTAGCGCAATGACTGGAAGTCTATGGGTATCTACTTAAGGTTAGATGTTTGTGATGATGATTTATGGATGGCTGACCTGATTGACACCTTCTTTTCAGGTGGGAAGAGGACCCACAGCGATTTGTGAAGATCCAGGACATTGACACCACACGTGTGAGGAAACCCAACTTTGTTGAGACCTTCCAGCTGGATGATGAGTGGTACTTTGCAGTGGCAGACAGTTCCAAGGCAGGCTCTACAAGCATATACCGCTGGAACAGCAACGGTTTCTACTCCCACCAATCCCTTCATCCCTGGCATCGTGACACCCATGTGGAGTTCCTAGATGTGGAGGGGAAGCAGCGTCTCATTCTCTCCAGTGCCTCCCAGCCCCCAGTGGTTTACCAGTGGAACCGCAGCCTGCGCCAGTTTGCCTTTCATTCCCAAATCACTGAGACTGCCGATGTGCAGATGGTCAAGCATTTCTGGGTGCGCAAAGTTCTCTACCTCTGCCTTACACGCTTCATTGGCGACTCCAAGATTCTCCGCTGGGAGGGGCAGCGCTATGTTGAGATTCAGACCCTGCCCTCACGTGGCTCCATGGCTGTGTATCCATTCACTGTGGGCCCCCGCCAGTATCTCCTCCTAGGGAGTGATTTCTCCTTCTCTCGAGTTTACCTGTGGGACGACCTTACCCAGCGCTTCCAGCCCTTCCAGGAGCTCAACATGAGAGCACCCCGGGCCTTCAGCTTGGTGTCAGTGGACAACAAAGACATCCTGCTGGCAGCCAGCTTCAAAGGCAACACCCTGGCCTACCAGCACCTAATAGTGGATCTCAGTGCCAAATAGACCAAACCAGTCAGATTCTCTGAGACCATTCATGAGTCTGTTCTGTTCTTATGGGGCCCGATTCCAACTTAGGAATTTACGCCTTTCCTACACAGTCTTTCCTATGCATTTCTTAGTATTTTGTATTCAGACGTACCTTATTTAGTTGCGTAATGCGCTCTGCAGGTGTGGCTACCTTGCACACTCTGAATAAATGTCATTCAACCGCTGAATACCCTCCCACTTGCTAGCCATCATATTTTCTCGTGGAGTTTTCATTCAATAGGGTTTTCAGTACATTTATCTTAAATCATCCGTTTAAATACAGTGCACCTTTTAGTTTGAATTTTGTCGACAGACTCGAGAGAACGGGTTCAGAATATTAGGGATCAATGAAAGAAAGCACCAATTGGTAGATGGTACTATAGATATAAAAATACTCTGATCTTGCAGATTATTTAGGTTTAGGAAAGTATTTATGAATCATAAAAAACAGGTTTAGAGAGCCTTTACGCACGAAAGAAAGAAAACAGTGGTTTAATTAATTCTGAAAATTGCCGCATTCAGTTCTTTAACCCATCGTAATGTTGGAAGATTAGTGTACATATAATTATAATAGGGAGAATAGTGTAGAATAGTAGGCTAAACCCTCGTCTATTGCCTGCACTAACCATGGAACTGTTTGATGACACAGCCAAGTATTGCACCATGCGTCGGGTTCAAACTGTTACAGCTTGGTCTGCGCTCTGCTCCATAATGATTTAATTAGCCTGCATGTCTTTTTTTATATTATCAACTGTTACTAATGATCCTCAGCAACAACCACATGACCGTGACAGCGTTTACAGAGGAAGCAAATGAAGGTAAATGAAACAATGTAATTAAATAGAATGATAATGTAGGCTATACCAACTGAAGGGAACTAACAGTAAATTGGCAGTTGAATATGTGTGGTTATTAGGCCTACTGACAGTCGATACTGATAGTGGCTAATATTTAACATGATAGAAATAGGAAACAGAGAAAGTCGCGGTAGTCGAGACATTCGAGAGTGCCCATCCTTGCAAGTTAAAAGGCTGTACAATTTAAATTCTGCATAATGGCACAGCATTTCATAAACTTTACTGTGGGAAAGTTGATATGTTCATATGCTTCAGTTTGCTGCCATATGACAGGTTTCACGTCTCCAGCGATTATAAGGTAAAATAGACCTAACACAAGTGTCATTTATATTTACAATTTCCTTATCCAAACGGATTCTCATTTACCTAGCTCTTATCAATAGCTCTTATCCAGTTGTAAATTACAGTGCATGGTGAATGCTGTTATTTCTATCAGAAAAAAAGAAAGTAGATGCTTTTCCCCTTTGGAACCGGAAGGTTCGCTCAACCTTATTCATGGTTTCCTCGTGCGTAAAGGTGGTGGAATAATGAGGGAATTAAGTCAAGATCAGAATACGGCATATCTGTAGACAACCTCTGCCACACCTTCATTTCTTAGATATTCACCCTGAATTAATTGCAGGTGAGTAGCATGCTATTCTCCTGCTTAAGTTCAATGTCAGAATATGCATAGAGGGAAAAGTGCATAAAAAGGGCATTATGTTCAATTTAAGCAAGGTTAACTCGGGTCGGAATCGGGCCCATGGAGAAAAACAAAAGCCATGTGACTAAATGCCTGTTAGGTTAGCTAACCACTTTTGAAGAGTGAGTACTAACAAACAGGAAATGCATGATATCTTCTGATGTCTCTGATTGAATCAATTAATGTGTAATGACAAACATATCACCATGATGAATTTGTGTCAAATCACTATGCAACATCACTACTTACTCTATTTACCATTAATTTATGCTACATGGAAGATATAATGGGAGGTGCAAGTGTAGATATAGTACAAATAAAAATATATAAGTAACATCAGATTATGTGAAAAGCATGTGCATCTACTGAACGGTTTTCTATTGACTGTTATAAAATCATTTCATTCATGCAATCGGGAGAAGATGACTAGGCGGCCAGTACGTTGCAATAAACTTTTATTGCAATTTACTGGCTGCCTACTCATCTTCTTTCTTGGATTATCTGCCATTTGGGGCCTACCTTCCCACTGCCCCCATCTCATTCATGCAATAAGAAAATAACTGTTCACATCAAATAGAGTTTAATAAGGACATTCTATGAAATGTTAGTTAATATATTTTGTTCAAAGCAATATATACTGTAATCTGCATGCTGTAATGGTCTCTTTACAGTAAATTATATTTTATAAAATAATGATTATTCTGTATAAGTTTTATAATGTTTCACAGGTAATAAGAGCTATATATGTTTTTGTCATAAATAACATGTATCTCTCTATGTTGTTGATCATGATCGATACCAATATATTTTCATTAAACTAGAATGAACCTAGGCTACACAGATTTCCCTAAATTAATGTTTGGTTAACTGAATGTTATATCAAGCTCCTGTCATATATGTGAAAATATGCATGAATATGTACACTTTGTATGTTGTGCCTTTACTACTCGGGCAGTCAATTCCCCCCAAAAAAATTATTCCCAATTTGAATGCCTAAGAATTGAGAATCAGTTCAAATCCAGGCTTTGACTCCTCATGTCTGTATTTGCTAAACGTTCACAATTTCGCCTAGAGAATGTGTCAACATCCACATTTTGGCTAAACCACTGTGCACTTTGAATCTATATAACTAATAGCTTGTCTCCAGACATTTTATGTTATTCTCCTCTGTGTATTTTATGCAGCTTTCCACTGTATGTAATATAATGTATCCATGCATCACTTTAATAGTGCCACCACATTAACTAAAACACTTGCAACAAATGCTACATTTAACATCCTCATTTACACAGTTGACTTTTACACATTTTTCTGTGATTGGCCTTTACTGCATTTGTATGGAGAAAAGTATTACTCTCTATATAAAATATAAAATAACTAGGTTCAACATTATTCTTTATATAGCCTACCATGTCTACACATTGTATGTGGGTTATTATTAGTATAGTGATTGTATGGTGCACTAAAGTTTAGCCTAATTGACCCTTACCACAATGGAAGTGGATATAGTGTGAGACCAAAATATTTGAACCTGAAAATTGTTGCCGCTTGGTATGTAACTGAAGTAATAAAGGTCCTATTAAAAATGCTGTCTCTAAGCTTTATTATTCTGAACTTTATTATTCTGGACTTTACTTTTCCTTGATCAGCCAATGAAGTTCGAAGTCCCACCCAGTTGACTATATTAAAATGGTGGAAACTCTCAATGCCAATGCCCATGCTAATACGGGCGTTTGGCCACTAGAGGCCTCTGTCATTCTCTATGGGTGCTTGCTACTGCAGCTACCTAGCCAATATGTGGGACAGTCACAGTAAGCACACGCATACAACTCATGAAGCAACAGTACACTCATCATTTATTTTTCTTTATTTAACTAGGCAAGTAAGTTAAGAACAAAGTCTTGGCCTACACCGGGCAACCCCGGACGACGCTGGGCCAATTGTGCGCCGCCCTATGGGACTCCCAATCACGGCCGGTTGTGATACAGCCTGGAATCGACCCAGGGGATCTGTAGTGACGCCTCAAGCGTCACTGAGATGCAGTGCCTTAGACCGCTGCGCCACTCGGGAGCTCATCAGTACCTTTAATCAAATATAAACTATCGTCAGTTTTCTAACAGATTTTTTTTTGTAAGACTAACAGTGAAATGGTTATTGCTATTTGGTGTCCTTGGGACGTCCCTACCCTAAACCCTAAATCTTAACCCCTACCCATACCTTAACCTTTTTAAATGTTTACTTCAATGGGGTAACGTCAGAGTTGGGACGTCCCAAGGATGCCGAATAGCGAGGACCACATTGAAATAAGACTCAGTTTTGTGAGCGGATCACTTTAGTCAGGTCAGTGATCATCGTTGGTTACCGCCTTTCAAAGTTTGTTGCATTATGGGGTAAAAAAAAAATCGACTTGCACCTACATGTCGACTGCATGAACTTTACAACGATCATGTGATCAAAGGTCATGAAGTTTTGACTGCAGTTGACTGCACTTGATCTTTACCAACTTCATCCTGCAGCCATCGCCCGCATTATTGCCAACCAATCATTAGGGAGTTTTTTTTTTTTTTACACACACACGAATGTGACTAAAGGCATGACTAAAACTAGAACCAACTTTGCCATGATGAAAGTGATATTTGATGCTCGCTCTCACTAATTGAGTGTACACATGATTTCAGTTTGTGAGTGTGTGACATGGGTGATGGAGCCATGTTTATTTCGACATTATAAAGAAAAACTTTTATAAACAATGGCAACACTGCCATATTGATGTTATTGAGCATTGCTGTTGGAAAACCACATTAGTGTCCGACTTTCGGCTGTGACAGATGCACCTCCCCCGACTTTCATCTACAGTTGGTTGCTTCGCTGTACCACTCAAACACGCACCGCCTCTCTGGGTGTGTTTCGTGGTAAACCCAATGAAGCCGACTGTAGACGAAAATCGGTGAGTGAAGTCGGAGAGGTGCATCTGCAGGGACGGCCTGTTCAATAGGGCGATATGGGCGACGCACTGCCAAACGGGAAAAGGAAGGGATTTTTTTTCTAATCAATTATATCACGGCAACAGTAGTTATCAGTGTTGTAATCTATACGTCTGATCTGCCACAGTGCCACACTGCCACTAAATGTCGAATCAGGCTAAAGTCGTGCTTCAAATGGCTCCACCCCCTTTTGGGGCGATTTCAGTCAGATTGAAAATCGCCCAGAACTTCTGTCATAGACTCCCATGTAAAATCTATTTTTTTCAAATTTCAGAGCCTTCAATACAATCTCAATGGGTGTCTGTGGGCTTGCACTTACGCGCTTTCGTCATACGTTACGTAACCATGAACGTAACTGAGAAAAGAGTGGATTGTTTGAAAGAAGTTCCTTTTTGTCGGCGAACAAATGAAGATAAATTGGCAACGAAACAATTAGGACCTCCCAGACCAAATTTAATAATTCAACAGGTTTCTACTAAAGGCGGAAAGTCCTACACCCGAGGATTTTCCAAAAATTGGTACGAACGAAAAAAGACATTGCCACTCACTCAACTGGATGACGAGGGATACAGGCTAGCTGTCCGCCGCCACAACGATGAGGTTAGTGTTGATAATCACAAGTTTACTGGATGTGGATATGGTGTAATAAAGGCAGTTTATTCAGAGGTAAATATATCTGGAATCGCGTTCACGGACCCGTTCGTCAAACTCTTAGGGAGCTATAAATTAAGCCCCATTACTTACCATATCAGATAAGAGAAATTGCTGCAGCTACATATATTTTACATCCTGGCCCTACATAGTTCACTATTTGCATCACTTACCAAAATATTACATGTGGTCATATATGC